TCAATTAGAACAATATGTTCGTAATGGTCATTTGAAGCCTACGACTCTATTTTGTACAGCTGATATTACGAACTTATATACAATGTTACCACAAGACGAGTCACTTAAAATCCTCAAAGAATTTCTTCTTGAACATCATTATGAGAAAGTACAAGGTATCCCTATTGGAATTATTCTTCAATTAGCTGATCTTGTTCTCAAAGAGACTGCATTTGTTGATGGAAATAAATTCTATCGCCAAATTATTGGTGGTGCAATGGGATCACCGTTTACTTTAACATTAGCCAACATTTTCATGTGGAAATGGGAAAAAGATGCCATTTGTGGTGCAATAGGACCCCATGAAATCTATGGCCGGTATGTTAATCTTTATTCATCTTCTTGTTCAATTAGGAAAGATTGATTTTTTTCCTATGACCATCCTAGATATATTGATGATATCTTCTTTACTTTTAATGAACCAAAGACCAAAATCGAGGCAATGATCAAGAAAGCTAATGACTTTCATCCAAACATCAAATTGGAAGCTAATATTGGTAGTTGTGTTTCATTTCTTGATCTTCTTATCAACAATAAGAATGGTATTCTATCCACATCTGTCCATCATAAACCAGCAGCCGAACCTTGCGTTGTACCATTTATTTCTGATCATCCTCGTCATGTATTTTCTAATATTATTCAAGCGGCTCTTCTTCGAGCTGTACGTTATTCATCAACATTAGACATTTTTGAAAAGGAACGTCGTGCTATTCGATTAATGTTGCTCTATAATGGGTAAGTCTCTCTATCGAGATCATTCATTTTTTCATTATTTGTCAAATCCCTTTACTATATTATACATATTAGGTATCCATCCACGTATATTGATATACATTTCCGAAAATTCTTCGGTAACGCCATTTCACAATCATCTATGATACCATTCATCGACAACGAGAATCAATTTTTGATTATGAGAAACCGTTTATTACCTCGAGCATCCGCCAAAGAACGAGAAACACAACATAGGATAGCAGCTGTTCGATTAAACGAAGAAACTAAAGATACCAATGATAAAGAAAAAAGGACAATAATCACAACGATCCCAAAACAAAATAAGCAGAATAAATTCGCAAATACGCTCTTTCTTCATTATACACACGAAAAACGATTGCATAGTATGAAACGCCAGATACATAAGATTTTTTCAGAAACCTTTCAAGATACATTAGCAATGAACCTTCGACTTATCGTTGGACATCGGAATCATCGTAACATTGGGCATGAGTTAATACAAAAGAGACCAACTGCCTCCATCTTGAAACCACAACAACTTCCTAGTAAAGTGTTTCGTGTTACTTCATGCCTTCCTCTCATATTTAATTAAACGCTTTTTTCAGACACAATTAAACAGAAGCATAAACGAAGTCGCATCAATTGATCCAGACCAAATTCTGTACAGTCAAAAACTTTATTCAGCATCTCTTCATCAAGATAGATATTCTTCTGCAAATTCAGACATTTCTAACCAAGACTCATAGCATATAAAACCAAGCAATCATCCACTTGGTCACTAAGCAGCAAAATACAACTGTTTCTCTGTTATTTTCATTTTATTCATTCTAACTTAATTTGTACACCAACACAAAACGCTATCCATGAAACTTCTTGATCCTGACCTTATGCTTTTAATTCTAGATACATGAAAGCAATGAGTAGCTCGTATTTCAACAATACCAAAGCCGATACTGTAACCATCGTTACTCATCGCATAAACAGCGAACTCGCACCTCAACTACTCTTCGTCCGCATCATGGCACAAAACGCACTGTCAATCAGAAGACTGAATCTTACACTTAGAAAGACAATTATTAAACAATCGAACGATCAATCTATCCAAATTGACCAAACCCAAAAGCATTTACTTCAAAAAAAGACAGCGCTAAACACATTGAGAACACATCTCAATTCATCTACACGGACTGATCCCACAATTGTCTTCCATTGTACAGGTAACCAACACCTATTTGCTATGTAATTTGTTAAAAATTTTAGTAATCGAATCAGAGACCTTAAGCCACCTGATGAGACCCTTAAGCAAGGTCGAAATCGATTGTGGTTGCTTCGATCACACCCACACCCACACCTTCAGGATGAAACGCGTCTTGGTAGCTGTTCACACTACAGTTATTTGAATTTATCAACATATTTATATGAGTTTAATTTTTAATTCTATATATATGTCAGATATAACAGAATCTTGTGATTTTTGTCAAAAAATTATTTAAGATTATTTGCCAACTGATGAATCCCTTAAGCAAGGATGAAACGCGTCTTGGTAGCTGTTCACACTACAGTTATTTGAATTTATCAACATATTTATATGAGTTTAATTTTTAATTCTATATATATGTCAGATATAAAAGAATCTTGTGATTTTTGTCAAAAAATTATTTAAGATTATTTGCCAACTGATGAATCCCTTAAGCAAGGATGAAACGCGTCTTGGTAGCTGTTCACACNGCTATTCACACTACTGAATTATGAATTCTATCAACTTGTATATATTGAGTTTTTAATTCTATATATAAGTCAGAGATGAATTTATCTTATTTGAATTTTGATTTTGAAATTTATTTTCAAAAAATTTTTTCATTTAGGATATTTGCCAACTGATGAATCCCTTTAGCAAGGATGAAACCGGTCTTGGTAGCTATTCACACTACTGAATTATGAATTCTATCAACTTGTATATATTGAGTTTTTAATTCTATATATAAGTCAGAGATGAATTTATCTTATTTGAATTTTGATTTTGAAATTTATTTTCAAAAAATTTTTTCATTTAGGATATTTGCCAACTGATGAATCCCTTTAGCAAGGATGAAACCGGTCTTGGTAGCTATTCACACTACTGAATTATGAATTCTATCAACTTGTATATATTGAGTTTTTAATTCTATATATAAG